GGGGTGGGCCAGGTGTAGGGGTAGGGGGTATGGGGGTCGTTTTCCACAACGTCGAGGAAGTGTAGATCATGGGGAGAGACTGGGTGACCATACGGGAAAGAGGATTCATGAAACACAACATGACTAGAGATGATGATTTTGTTTGTGTTGAGATCGAGACAACGAAAACCGCGTTGGTTGGAGGGGTAGCCGAGAAAACTAGAACGGGCTGAGCGTGGGGCAAGTTTGTGAGGGGTGGTGGTAGAGATATTAGAGTAACAGAGATAGCCAAAGACGCGAAGATGAGAGTAAGATGGTGGTGACCGGTAGAGGGTGGCGTGTGGGGTGCTATTATTTAGAGTGGTGGTGGGGAGGATGTTAAAAATGTGGGCTATCATGTGAAGGGCCTCAACCTAGAAGGTGGGTGGTAGTTGGACTTGGAAGAGGAGCGAGCGGACAATGTTGTTGTTGGTGCGAATAGTGCGCTCAGCACGTCCGTTTTGTTGACTGGTATGGGGACAAGAGAAATGAAACGAAAGAGGATGCCTAGGGAGTCAAAAATATTTTTAAGGGGAGTGTTACGGTATTCTGTTCCATTGTCACACTATACTGCTTTGATTGTTTGGTTGAAGTGATTTTTTACATATGCCACGAAAGAGGTTAAATGATTAAAAGCATCACTTTTGTGTCTCAATGGAAAACCCATAAACAATGAATAAAATCATCCAACAGTAACATGTAAAATTTAAAACTAGTAATACTTGGAACATAAGATTGTCATAAGTCTCTATGTAAAAGTTGAAAAGGAAACATTGAAACACGACTAGAAGAAGAAAATGGGAGGCGCACATGCTTTCCCAATTGATATGCATGACATAAGGAATGTTGATAACTTTTAAAAAAGGAAGAGAGGAAACACCACGGAGAACATTTGGACTGGGGTGGCCTAGACGCCGGTGCCAGGTCTGAAGATCGACAGCGGCGACATGGGCTCGAGCAGGTGCTGGGCATCCTAGGGGATAGAGAGGTCTCATATCATTGCATCGATGCATCATGGTGCCTGTCCGACGATCCTTCACAGAAAAAGCATGAGCATCAAATTCAATAGTATAGTTATTATCGCAGGTGAGCTGACGAACAGAGATATGGTTGTGGGTGATGTGTGGGGAAACAATAATATTATTGAGGGATAGGGTGGATTGGTGGGGAGGGTATGGCTACCAACAGCCGTAGTGCTAACTTTAGATGCATTACCAACAGTGATATATAGTGCGGAATATAAAGATTGAGAATTAACATGAGAAAGAGCACCTGGGTTAGAGACGATGTGATGGGATGTACCGGTGTCCATATACCAAGTGGGTTCACGGAGGGACATAGTATCAAAGTGGTGAGCCAGGGATGTGGGGGTGGGTGTATGGGTTGT